TCCAAAAGCTAATCTTCATTGGAGGAATCGTTTCTCACTAGCAGCAATAATGTTAACAACAATTTTAATTAGGAAGATATTAACTTGAGTTTTTCTCCATCCCAGCTGCTTTTCAGCTAAAAACAAACATTGGGAAATCCCATCACACTCCCACAGAAACACATGTAATTTGGCATTTAGTATGTTATACAGAAAAAGACGTATACAGACTAACAAATGTATTTGCTATAAAATGTAATTTTTGCAAAATAGCACATTTTAAACAGTATCATCAAGAAATATTTTCAGTGATAATGCAACCTGTATAATTAAGAAAGGTATGCTGAATATGATATAAACAATAAAGACATACTTTAAAATATTTTGGCTGCATTACAAATACACATGGATATTAGAAAGATATTTAAATTATCAATATATTGATATATAATTCAATAATCAATAGGAATTATCAACATCATTAGTAAGTAATCATGTGTTTTGTTCAAAGATGTAGGCAGCTTTAAGATAAGAGAGACATACTGATTAGTAATTGATTAACAGGTAAACATTCTTTTTGCAAGAAGTGTGATAAAGGTGTCAATGGACCAATAACATAATATGGAGTGTGATTATGAATAAATGCTCCCATAAGCCACTTAATACCTGTTATTAAGCTATACTTGGAAAATAACATAATTAACTTTTCCATGATCAATTATACTTTTATGGAGGCATGTTAGGAATCTTTTTGCTCAGAACTTCATGAAAACATATAATTTGATCATTCATGATTTTGCCTGCAATTTTAAGGCTATCTGTGGGATCCTAGGCGAGCATTAGCACCATATTTTTTGTCAGCATGGATGTGAATTTGATGATTGCAGTTGTACTAGGCAACACAAGGTAGAGGACATTTGTCCTTGCTTTCATCTTCTCCTTTGGCAATTTTACTTCGGACAGCATCCCAGAAATTGAAAATTTTTCTCACAGTATTGCTTTACTTTGTTTGTATCAGGAAGCCTGATGATCTAACCATGAATGTTACATGTTTTTGATATTCTAGCAGGAGCCAGGGAAGATGGAAAACTCCTGAATCAAAAATTTCTGCTGCTGTTGCCTCTATTGCCTAACCAGATAAGTGAGAAATAAATGGCAAAACTTAAGATATTTGGAGAGTGACTGGGAAAGGCATGAAGAAAAGGAAGAGGGTTGACAGAACTGCAAATAATCCTATAAACTGACATGCATGAATAATACATATAGACTCTGGAATATTTACTCTATGGATATACTGTATAAATATACCTTACCTTACTATTCCTTCATTAAAATATGTCCATTTGTAATAATTTTCCAGACATTTTGCCAAAACAATAAATCTAATTAAATTAGAAAAATATAATTCAACTGGAAAAATCTGCAGAAATTAATATCTTTGGAAAGGATTTTGAAGCTGGTAACTAGAGGTAGTCTGAATATGAAACTAATCATAAATTTAATGTGTGTGTGTGTGTAAACATATGTACATATACTATGAAAAACAAACTTTTAAAATTTGCTTTCAGATCACTAAGTATATTTGTCTGTTACAATGTAATTTGTTCACACTGTTGAAAATGAGCTAAGAATTCTTATTTTACAGGTATTTTTCTTACATTGTGAAAGCAATTCTATGTATGTGTTCCATTTAAATATTGCTCATATAAATAGAACAAACTCCTATCTGTTTTGAGACCAATACATGCAAATTATATAGTTATGCAACTAGAAATCAGATTCTGAAGCTGAAGCTCAAATAATTTGGCTACCAGGTATGAAGAGCTCCTGATTAGGGAAAGATTGAAGGCAAAAGGAAAAGGGGACAGCAGAAGATGAGATGGTTAGATACTGTCATTGACACAGTGGGCATGAGTTTGGGTATATTCCAAGAGACAGTGGAAGATGATGGGGAGGGCTGGCATGCTGTGGTACATGGGGTTGCGAAGAGTCAGACACAACTTAGCAACTGAACAACAACAAAGAAATCATAAGAGACATCGCCCTGAGTATTATTTCATTTTTTTCTTTCATTTTTCTGATATTAGCAATATACATACCTGATATAATGACTAATTTTTATGAGGATGGTACAATATCAAAACTCTGCTCCAGAAGTTTTTACCAAGTGATAAATAGACCATTTCACAAAGTAGCTAACTAATATGGATAAAGAAGCACTAATTCAGAAAATGTCACAAAGCAGAAGTTTTCCAATATATGGTCTATTTTGGTATGACAGCATTGTGTTACCTTGAAAATTTGGGACACCAGGTATTGGAGTCATAGTTATTTCTTTTTCTCTGACATTGCATGAGTGTGAATATTTGAAATCATAAAACTGTTAGTAGAGTGACACTAATGACTTCATTTCTGTTTGGATTGAAAAGTGCTTGTTTTTCTGGATGACACAAGCATAAACATCTTGTTTGTGTTTAGTGCTTGTCAACTGTACTACTGTATGAGGTTATGCAAAGTCATATTCTGGGCTTTGTATTTTACTTTGAGCATATTTTGAACATATTTCGGCTTTAAGACTTGTGTGTGTATTTGTGGCTAGTCTGAGATTTGCTGAACACTTTAATTTTAAATGGAAAGTGATTAAGACAGTAGGTTTCAGGTGGTTTAGCATAAAGATTCAATTATTTGGCCTGTTGTTTGCAATGCCAAAGTCCAGGTTCCTTTCCAGGCGTCTCCTTGTAAAAAACATCATACATCAGCGCTGAAGAGGAAGATGACAGGAATTTCCTTCACCATTAAAATCAAGGTGATGTTGCTAATGAAGGGAAGAAGAGAAACATGGAAGCTGATCAGATGCAAGTGTAATTAGAAAAAGCTGGCTTGTACTGTGCTTTAGTCCTGTAGCCATAATAACTCCTCTTCAGGTCCTGGGCAGGCATGTCCCTGGGTTGGTTATATATCTTAAAACACCTGCTTGCAACCGGTTGGCTGGGCCAGAACACTGGCATTGGAACAAGTTAGCACAGGCACTACAGCAGTGGTTCTCAACCTTTTTAATGCCGCGACCCCAACCGGTCGTAAGTCGAGGACTAAACCGATCGTAAGTCGAGGACTAAACTGGTTGTAAGTCGAGGACTAAACCGGTCGTAAGTCGAGGACTTTCCCTGCCCGGGAGCGCCGCGCATGCGTGGTTCAGCCCCCTGCGCCGGCCGAGGCGTAGCTGGCAAGCGGCAGAGACGGAGCAGGCCGACCACCAGCTGGCCCAGCCCAAGGGAGGTAAGGCACCCGCCGGAAAAGGGGAAAAAAAATGGCGGACAAAAAAAATGGCGGACAGCCTTGCTTGGCGACCCCCGTGAAATGGTCAATCGACCCCAAATGGGGTCCCGACCCACAGGTTGAGAACCACTGCACTACAGGAACCGTTTTAGTAAGAGGCAAAACTAATATTTCTTCGCCACCGCATAAGAAAGGCTCTCAGGAATTCTTCCTCGCCGCCTGAGGTAAGCCCGCCTACAAACCTGTGCGGGGTGCCCCCCCTTCCCCCGAGGCAACTGGCGCGGGAGAGAAAAGGCGCCCGTGACAGGACCTCGCCGGGCGTTGCACAGGCGCCTGCTTGGTGCTCGGTGGCCCTGCGCGCGCTTTGTGCGCGCGAGGGAGCGCGTGTGGTGGCAACGGGCCGGGGAGAGAGAATAGCGGGGGGGGGGGGGGGAGGCTGTGCCTGGGCTGGGAGGAGAGGCTCTTCCACGCTGCACTCAAGTGACATTCAGGGCGAACGCCACATGTTTCCCTCAGCCAGCCGGGCAGGCAGCGAATTAAGAAAGGCGCCCGGACAGACGCCTTTTCCCTCGACTGGCCTAAATGTTTTAAAGTAAACTCATTGCTAGCCGTCGCTGACTCTCAGGCTGCCAAAAGATCCTCTCCACTCCCGGCTAGCGCCAATTTCGCCTCAAGTCTCTTTTACCTTTGGAGAGTTTGCCTCGCTTGAAGAAGGGAAAGAATATAAGCAGCCTTCGCCTATCCTTCTGCCCGCTAAAAAAACAGAAGAAGAACAAAATCCAAGAAAACGAGCGGCCGAGGGCTACGACTTGGAGGGAAAGTCTTTCAGTTTGCTTCTCCCGCTCTTCGTGGCAGGCAAGGAGCTCCGGGCGAGCTTCGGTCCTCCTTCGGAGCCAAGTCTCAGCGCCTGACGAACTTGGGGGCAAGGTCGGCACGGGCCAGTCGAGGCTGGTCCTTCAGGTAAGCGGGACGCCAGGCAAGGTTTTCCGCCCGGCCACGGCGGGTGAGGGAGCGTCGGCTGGAGGAGGCTGGCTGGCCACCGAGGTCGCTCGCCGAATTGGGGGCGCTCCTAGAGCCGCTTGTGCGGCTAGGGCAGGGGTAGGCAACCTGGGCTCTTTTATGACTCGTGGACTTCAACTCCCAGAATTCCTGAGCCAGCCGTGCTGGCTCAGGAATTCTGGGAGTTGAAGTCCACGAGTCATAAAAGAGCCCAGGTTGCCTAGCCCTGCCCTAGGGAATTCTGAGCCTTTGGACAGGATCTTGCTGGTGCTTTAGAATAGTTGAAGTTAGGCGTAAGGAGAGCCAGGTCTGCTCCGCACCTGATTCTCTCTCCGGAGTCTGCGGAGGGGGGGAATCTGGGCTTCTGCTTCGAACTCAGCCTGTCCCGGTAGGCGCTCCAAGAAGTCCTTAGGAGCCCTGCAGATTCCCGAGAGCTGCGCCGCGGGTGAGACGTAAGATTTTTTAGCATCTTGGGGAACTTGTAAATTTACGTGGGTATTCTCTCTCATCTCTTTGTCTTCTCCACCTTCTTCAGTTTTATAATCGTAACCAATTAATTAGGTTGTTTGCCACAGTGGACTGCCCAGCACAAAGCTCTGAAAAAGATGGCATGCAGTAGAGCAGGGAGTAGTCAACCTTGGCTCTTTTATGACTCGTGGACTTCAATTCCCAGAATTCCTGAGCCAGCTTAGCTGGCTCAGGAATTCTGGGAGTTGAAGTCCACGAGTCATAAAAGAGCCAAGGTTGACTACCCCTGCAGTAGAGAGTGGAACTTTAAAAAAAAGGACATTCTAATTTCGATAGACAAGGTCCGATCTCTCTTAGGAACTTAAATCTGTAAAGTTTTATGAAGCCTGATTTTTTTTTTTACCCCCAGTCCCAGAGTAGCACCATTTCTCTTTTTATATTCTTGTAATTTTTGTTGGCTTTCCACAATCTTTTGATGAGACAAATCTGCCTGCCAGTTTTAATCCTGTTTGTCTTCGCTTTGGCACGTGTATCCCTTCCCTAACAACAGTGTGCCTGTCACTGGAAAGGAAAGAGAAGGAACAACCGGAGTTCATCTTTTCCTCTGCCACTTGGTGGTGTGGGACCGTTTCCATGAGATTCAACTTCGCAGAGTTGCTCACAAGGTTTCATTCTTTTCCTTCGCTCCAAAGTTACTTTCTGTCCTGTTCCTTCCCATTCCCTGCGGTTTAGTTGATGTAACACCTGAGGAACTGAGCAAAAGCTCCCTATCAGACTTCTTAGAACCAGTAGAAGTTAAGTAACTGCAATGAGTTTGTAGAAGGTTCCTGTCTAAAAGCTTTTCAGTTTTGGTGCGTGGAATGTTTGCTTATGTATGTTGGTTCTCTTTCAATCCAACAGTAACATATCCTTTTCTAAGGTGGACCATTTAATATTTCTACTGCAAAGTGTTTCACAAAATACAGACCAGACTCATGTGGCAGGTTTGCGTTCAGAAAGTTGTTGCAAAGGGGAAAGCAAGAAATACAGAGTAACAAAGAGGAACAGGGATAGATAAGAGGCAGAATGACCTTTATATCTAATTTAAGTTCTTACCATTCCATCTATGAATGTAAATACTTTCTTCCAATGTTTTCTGCAGCCTAACTGCTTAGACGTTATTGCCTCCATCTATATCATCATCATAGCCCTTCCAAGCAAAATCTAAACTATCAAGCTGAAGTGTAATTAGTTGTTTAAAAACACTGTCAGAATATGTTCAGCGATGTAAATTTTCATTTTTGTTTTCAATTTTTGGTGTCTTTTCCAAATTTCAGTAATAGTTGGTCCTGAGGATTATTTTCAGTTTTATCTTCTACTATGTTTAAAGTGCTTGCTATTTATATATATGTATGTATGTGTGTGTGTGTGTGTATACATATACATATTATACAAAATATATGCAAATAAATAAAAGAAAATATTTTTTAAAAAATATGTCCTGTTTTCAAGAGACCTACTGCATATGATTATTTATTATTAAGCATACATTTTGCAGAAATAAATATGCTTTTTAAATGATTTTAAAATGGTTTTCACTGCTGCATTTCTGGAAATTCTAGTGGAATAGCTTTGCAGTTGATTTTGGCAATAACCCGGCTTTAATTAAAGCAAAGTAATAGAACATGAGCTAGTAGAAGTGAAAATTAATTACTTATGGATTGTATTAGACATTTTAGTTCACAGAATTGAAAGCATGATTATGAAACATCTCTTCATTATTTGTAAGTGGAACTTTTTAATCTCTCAAGTAATATATAATTGGTGAATATCTGTATTCTTTGTACTGGACCTCTTTAATATTTCCGTGATTAAGTATTGTAACTTTCTTCAAGTTAGATAACTTAGTGATACAGATCAGTGCAATATTTTGCCAATACTACTGAGAAATGGGGAAGGAGTGGAGAGACAATGCTGTCTTGAAACAAGTGGAAACATGGGCTAAGATAGGGAACAGAAGATTCTGTTTATAGCTTTTCAGCTCTGTTGTTATTCTTGACCACTTTTTAAAAACAAACAATGCACCAACACGAGTATGTGAAATTTGCATTGGAAAATAATATAGATATTCACAATAAAAAGATTTTGAAAAGATAATCTGTTTATTTTGGAATCAGTAATAGTGTAGGGGAATTATAATGTTAATATGGGATCAAATTCCAATCATAACATCTTTTTCAAGGATTTGGTTAGTTACTCTCTGTGCTCAACTCTGTAAAAATGATTTCAGAGTCATTTGAGTGGCTTAGATTTTTCCTTTTTTAATCTTGATAACTGAACCAAAATCAGATTTTATCTCAGATATTTTTCCACATACATCTCTGTTTGACTAGTCCACTGATAGTGGAATTATTTCAAAACAGGTCTTAGACTGCAGTCCTATGAACACAGCAGCTTTATTTTGAGTAAACTTGTGTAAGTCTCAGTTGCATATCTAATATTATATGACATTAAAGAAGTATCCAGAAATGTATTTAGAGGTAAAAGATAATTGAAATATGGGATAATTCTATAATATTAAACTTGCTTTTTGTTAGAAAACTATAGCCCTTAAAATTGATTTAAGTGTTAGGCAGCTTTGAAGGTAATCTTTAAATCTTTAATAAATTAGTACAAATCTGGTAATCCATGATTTAGATATAGTTCTTGTCTTTAAAAAAGGAGATTTGATTATTGGTTTAATGCTATAAATTCCATGTAAAATGTGTATCTTAAACACAAAAGTCTCTTCAAAATGAATGATGCTGATGTATTTACAAATCTATTCTGCCCTTTTAAAAAGTGTATATTAGTTAGTAAACATAATCAACAATTTCATTTTGTAATTATATTCAAGATCAGATAAAAATGTTTTAGACTTGGCTATTAGTTTTAAAAGATATGCTAGGGAAAACAGTCCAAAAATCTAATTTAAATTGAGGTAAAGTAATGCCACATCCAGTCTGTGGTGCTTTCTTGGAATGAAGTGACAGCTTTAACCTAAGAACATCTGAATTCTCGCTTCAGTTACAATAGAGCTTTTTTAGAAGAAAGTATGCCTTGTTTATGCATTCATTTAAATGCATTACATTTTTCATTTTTTAAAATTACATGATTTTTTTGAAAGGACTGCTTTTGGTCTCCTCTTTTAATCGTGCCATAAAGCTTGATTTAATCATTTAAATTTAACTTATAAATACAAATGTAACATATTCTATTATTGTATTTTTGTAATTCTGGTTACTTTTACAGAAGATTATATTGTAATATAACTAATGATATACACAAAAATACTATCAATATGAAGCTATTTTGGATTGTCTTTTGGAAAATAAAGTAAATTTTGTTTGTTACTTTTCATGTGATAATCATACTATGGATTATAAGTCCGTAAGCTAATATGATTAAAATAAACAATTCTTTTTTCAAATGCAATACATTTTAAGAAAATTTATTTCTTGAGGAGTATTTGATTTACCTTTTGGTAAATCTTAAAAATTTAAAAATACAAATCTTAAAAATTCTTAAAAATAAGAAATGGTGGAGTTTTAAAATAATGTGTAATACATTGCCTTTAATTTAATGTTTGGAAGTTGTACAATTAGTACCATGGAACAGTGATTGTAAGATCTGTTGAAATTCTACATTTCAGTATATTTTTGTGGAGTTTTTAAAAGCAAATACAATATTTTTATAACCTGATAAACTAGAATAATATAAATGAAGGATATTTATTTATATTTATATTTATTGATTAGCATGTTAGATATATATTCACCTTTTCCTTGGGAGCTTAAGGCAGTGTACATGGCAGTCCCCAATTTATTACGATCACAGACTAGCACAAAAGTTAAACATCAGAATAAATATGTTCCCTAAAAATTATAGGAAAATAACTAAGCAAAGTAGTAATATGAATAAGAATATGTAGTTCTTTATGTGTTTCTTCCTGCAGCAGTACAAAATTTTGCTACTGCATTGGTAGCTGGAAGGAGATAGTTCATGTAGAAATTATCTGATCTCCCTAGAAATCTCTCTAATAGAGGGAGAATACAGTTGATCTGATGTCCCTGTAGAACTTGCAGCACAATAGGACATGTGAGATATCTTCAACTTCCTCATTGCCATGTGTACACATCACTCAGTTATTGGAGTTTTATCATATCTGCCCCTATTTATCAGACATTGTCTAATTATAAAATTGTAGATGTTATAATTAAATACAGAAAATAATGTCTGATCTTGATGTATTTTAACAGTCAACTTAAATTTAATCCAAAGAAGAAGAATACTACCTGCAACATTATCCATGTTTTATAATTGGAAGTAGTTAACCATGGACTTACCTGCCTTGCCTAGTTTTCTTATAGAACACAACAAGTAGACAAGACACACTAGAACTATTGATTCTACGGGACAAAAGGCAACAATGACTTTTTTTTAATTAATTTTCTATTTACTGTTCCAAGCATAGG